CAACCTGGGATAGTGGAAAGTAACCCTGCCCATATCAGGGGGTGGAAGGAGATAAACTTGAAGGTCCTTTCCAGCCCAAACCATTCTGAAATTCATTCTGTGGTTCTCTGACTCCCTCTCCTGACAGGGTCAGCAGGCTGGGGTGGCCTGGCATGCTCAGCACCCCAAAGCCTGGTTCTGACACCTTTGGGCTTTGCTGGGTGGTCTCATGCTTCAGGGGTAAAGCTGGAATTCCTCCAGGGGTTTTGTGTCAGCACGGACGGAGGGATGCTCAGGAGCAGGGAGGGGCAGCAGCTGGCTGGGGTGGGCGAGCAGTGGTCAGGGATGTTCAACCCCAAGCCTTGCCCCTGGCCTTGCACCTTGAATCCCTCTACACACACAGGCTGGGTGAAGGGAAAAACTGGAGACACCTTGTTTTGCCTGGAAAAATGACATTTTGACACCAGGAGCAGGCAGAGATCAGCCAGAGCCTCAGGCTCCTTCCTCTGCTGTGCTGAATGCAGAATGAGCCTGGCATGGGGGGGCAGCTGCTTTGCATCCCCTGCTTGCCCTGGGGCACCCCCATATCTTTGGGGGGGCACTCCCACAGAGAGTCACTGTAGGCACAGAAAAAAAGAAACGCAGTCAGGAGCCAGCACTTTCCTGAGGGAAAATCATAGCAAAGAGAAGGCCAAGCAATGTACATTTTAAAGGGAGATGCTGAGAAAAATCTCGATGCAAATATCAAAATACAAAATAAAAACACATAAAATATGAATATATACAATATTAATGCAAAATTATAAATATCTAAAATACACAAATAATAAAATATTAATGTACTGAGATATTAATATATTAAAATATTAGAGTATTAAAATACTGAAACGCTGGATGCTACAGCAGTTATGCTATGTGCCAACATACAATGGAAGGCCAAAATTGCCATCTCCCAGCCGAGGCTCAGGTCATGAAACACTGTCCCCGTGGATGGGAAGGGGACATTCCCCCATCCCTGACACAGCCCTGAACCAGCAGCCACACCTTGCACAAGCCTGGGCTCTCCTTGGCAGCCTTTATCTCCTCCAAGGGCTTTTCAGGGCGTTGTCACCGGGGCTGAGGAAGGAGATGGGAAAGGGAAGTGCTGGTGAAGAGCCCTCACAGGTCACAGGTCTCTTGCTTCTGCCATTGAGCAACGCTGAGACCCGGAGGCAGGATCCTGTCCCTCCCCAGGGCTGGCACATCTTTCCAGTGAGCTCTGTCACTGCTCCATTTCCACCCCTACAAACGAGTAGAGGCAACAGTAGTTTGCTTTATCTATTTTCTGTGCATATGTCTTTATAATCTATTGAGTGTACTTCTGGTTTTTACTTGCCACGGTGCTAAAACGAGCATTTTGCCTCTCTCTGATATTTCAGTTTTACATTGCTGATTTGGAGATGCTGAGATCCTTCAGTATTAAAGTGAAGGGGGTTGGAGAAAAAAGATTATTAGGAAAAAAAAAAAAAATAGAAGGGATTTTTGAGCAGCAGAGTGCCTGGATGAGCTTTGGGTCACCCAGGGAGTGCACGTTGCAGGTGGTTTATGACATTGCTGTAGTCCCTGGCTTGTATCTGGCATTTTTCATCCAAAAAGGGGACAAAGCTTAGCTCACCCAACCCCTTTTTTTTCCTTCCTGTTGCAGCTTCAGGTGTTTGAATCTGTTGGCAGAATGTGGGGGAAGCAGTCCAGTATCCCACCATCATTTTTTTACAAGTGGGGCTTTTCTTGGCAGGAAAGTAATGAATGAGTTTTAAGCGTGACCATAAATGCAATGTTTCGCAGCGTCATCTGCAAAATACGTTTATTTTAGGTGCCCTCCACCCTTTCCACCATCTCCCTCCAGTTTATTTTAACAATGCTGTAATTTTCTATTATAAAATGGGATTTTGCTGTTTAACTCCGTGTCGTCTGCCCAGCATTTGCATGTGTATGTGTGTGTGTGTGTGCGTGTGCGTGCACTGGTGACATTTGTCACCATCAGATGCTATTTTTAAGCCTGTTATTATTGAGGACCCCACCCTTGGCTTGGGTATGGGAAGGGGGGAGTGCAGGAGGAGGGAGAGGAGGGAGGGGAAGGAAGGAAAACGTCAGCCTCAGCACACTTCCAGCCTCTGGCCATCAACCTCCCCGGGGGCATGGGAACCATAAGGTCATTTCTCAAGCTCGCTGAGCTCCAGAGCTGTCAAACCACCCTGAGAGTTTAAAAAATGCAAATGTATGCAAATGAATGGGCTGTTTCTCTCCCTCTCCCCCCCTCACCCCCGGTTTAAATGACATGAATCACCTTCAATTTTGCCAGCATCCTGTAAAGTTATCGGCTTGCCTAAACGCTGCAGTTAACAGAGCCACATCTCAGGAGGACCAGGGGGGGATAAGAAAGGAAAAACAGCTGATTTCCACCAACACCCCATAATTTTAAAATATATTTTATACGTAGAAATTATATGTAACTATGTTTATAGTCACACACCAATCTCCCAATTCTAATTTTTCTTGCTGTCAAGCGAATAATCCACTAATTAAGGAGAATGAAGCTTAGTGTCCAGAAAAAACCCTGTATAAAAACATTTCTCAGGGTAGTCCAGTATTCTGCTGCTCTGATTTTTGGCACTTAGGGTGATCTGGCAGTGAAAGATCAAAATAGGAAGACACGTTCCTTCATGCAAGAAGCTCCTTTAACACTCAGGCTCCTTCCAAACAAAAATAAATGAGTAGATGATAAAACCAGCAATAGAAATTTAATTGCTCACGCTTATTATTCGGGATACAAAGCCCTAGAAAGGAAGCTGTCTTTTCCTCCCTTGCTCAGGGGTTATTTATTATCTTACACTCCATTTGGAGAAGGTATTGGATTTACTGTCATTTATTGGAGATTTTCAAGGAGGATTTGATACGGAGCTGGTTGGGATCGCAGAGGAGCGTTGCTGGTTAACATGGTTAAGCAGAGCACACTGTAATGAATCAATTTGTTTCAGACAACAGATGTAATTAGCGTGGAGGTAATGGGCACACCGTGGGATGTGGGGCTGGAGCATCCTCCCTCCACTGAAAATGTCGGTGGCTGGAGCTGGGTGGAATTCCTGGTCCCTCTGCCCAGCTCTGGGCAAGGGGAGGTGGCAGGTGAGGGCTTCCCATGGTTGCAGGTGCCCTCCAGCCCCTGTGAGGCTTCACTGGCCGTGGACAGCTGTCCTCTATCTCTGTTTATCCCTGCAGGCCTGTGGTCCATCACTTCCCTCTAGGCTGCACCATCCTCAGAGACCTTCACTCTCCCACACACCCGTTTTTGGCAGTGCTGATTAGGTGTGGGGGAGATACCTGCAAGGTCTCTCTGGGGAGGGAGGAGAAGGGAGACAGCATTTCTTTTCCCACGGGAACGTTTCCTGCAGAGTCTGATCCCCCTCTATGGGGCCCCCAGGCTTCCCCAAGGGTTGCTGGCCAAGGAGAAGCACAGGTTTTCATGGACAGCCTCCATCAGACCAGGCTCTTTCCATCCCCGAGGCAGCTGGGAGGGTGGGAGCCAGCTGAGGTAAACCAGGTCCCCACTCGTGCTTTGGAAGGAGTTTTGGAATCAACAGAGCCAGAAACTGAGCAGGGAAGGACACCCAGGATATGGCAGTGGATCTTAGGAGAACTGTGGAGGTGGGGTGGTGTGAGCTGGGGAACCTGCCTGGTGGTGTCAGCCTTGCAGAAGAGATGGAGTGGGGCTGCAGTTTTGCTTTCACGTGCCCTGAGCTCTCCTGGAGATTAAGTGCTCTGTCCCTCGGCTGTGAACCAAGTGTCTACCTGCAGCAGGGCCAGGGCTGGTAGAGGTGACACTGCCTGAACACATGCTCTGTGTCCTGGGGGTTTCCAAGGGTTAGTGTATTCAAAGTTATTCTGTCTGTTTGATGTATTCTGTCTGTGAGGGGATTAATGTATTCGTCGCCTGCTGGAGGAAATCGCTTTCCTTTCCTGGGATTTCTCATGTGGAAGGGCTGCTGGAGCCATGTGAAAGAGGAAACATCTTACAGATTAAAAAATGGCAAAAAAAAAAAAAAATCAGGTTTTCCTCTTGGGTGTGGGCTTTTTTGCTTCCGAGTTTTCCTTTGAAGCTAAAGCTGCTCTAGCAGGGGAAGATGTCTGCCAGATGCACAGGGCATTTTGATACCATGCTGACAAGTCCAAGCAGAATTGGGAATGGAGAAAGCTCAGCTCTTGGGAAGAGATAGCAGACAACAGTCTGTGTCTGGTCAGGTCCTTGCTACCTTGTTGTCTTCTCTGGGCGTTTAGGTGCACACTCTGACACAAATCCCTGCTTTCCTTCCCATTCCCAGATCCCTCAAGAAGATATCCCTACGTGGGATACGTCCCCATGTGAGGTGACATGTCACAGCTTCCGGGCATGAAGTAGCAGAACTGAAGATCCATAAGGATCTCTCTCCTGCTGCAGCAGGAAGCTGTGACCCTCCTGTCTGGGATGTCCAATTGTACCAGTCCCCAAAACAAGCACGTAAATGAGATGGGCACTCCCTGGCTCATCTTGTTCAAGCAGTGTAGGTGCTGGCTCTTGGCAGTGTGAAGCAATACAGCATCACACTTTCCCACATAGCTCCTGGCAGGGCAAATCCAACGTGTGCCTGGAACAATGTTGGCTCCAGGAGGATGTAGAAGTGTGATGGGGGGTAGTCATTGCACAAGGTTCCTGGGGGAGGGGTGTGAAAGAGAAGAGGGAGCTTGTGGTGATTGTGAAAAGGTGAGCACTGTGGGAATCGGGAAGGATGAGGACAAGGAGATGAAGAGGTGGGGAAGGAAGCAAAAGTTCAGTCATAGAGAATCTGGAAGGAGCTGAAGGTGGCCTAGAGATGCACTGAGACAGTGCAAGCAGGAGGTGATGGCAGGTGAGGTAGAGGAGGGAGGGACTCTGGGAGAAGGCAGCATCGTTTTGGCATTATCCATTGGGAATCCCCTGCTAACGGTCTGCTGTCTGTGCTTCATCCTAGGGCACTAAATGAGAATATGGCCAATGGCATTGAAGATCTTATCGGGATCCCATTCCCGAACCACAGCAGCGAGGTGCTGTGTGGTTTGAACGAGCAGCGGCACGACGGGCTCCTGTGCGATGTCATCCTCATCGTGCAGGACCAGGAGTACCGCACCCACCGCTCCGTCCTGGCTGCATGCAGCAAGTACTTCAAAAAACTCTTCACTACCGGCACTTTAACGGACCAGCCCTATGTTTACGAGATTGACTTTGTCAAGCCTGAAGCACTTTCTGCCATCCTCGAGTTTGCCTACACCTCAACTCTCACCATCACCACCTCAAACGTCAAGCACATCCTCAGCGCCGCCAAGATGCTGGAGATCCAGAGCATCATCAACGTCTGCCTTGAAATCATGGAGCCTGACAGAGAGGCCGAGGAGGAGGATGACAAAGAGGACGATGACGATGATGAAGATGAAGATGAAGATGAGGAGGAGGAGGAAGAGGAGGAAGTGGAAGATTTTGTCAATCAGGAGAACCTAGGTGATGTACAAGAAGTAAGCTGCCACCAAAGCCCTTCTGAGTCCGATCTTACCGAAGAAGCTTATACAGAAGCGCCTAAAGATTTTCCAAATCACTTCCCAGCCAGTAACTCCTCTGGACACTTGGGCATGATACGAGACTTCTCCATAGAGTCCTTGCTGAGCGAAAACTTGTACCCTAAGGCAAACATCCCAGAAAGGAGGCCAGCTCTGTCTCCTTTCGCCCCCAGCTTCTTCCCCCATCTGTGGAACGGCGACTTTAACTCCTTCCCTCAACTTGAGGAGCCACAAGTAGACAACGGCCCTTTGGATCTGGTGATCAAAAAGAGGAAGATCAAGGAAGAGGAGGAGAAGGAAGACTTGCCTCCGCCTCCTTTCCCTAATGACTTCTTCAAGGACATGTTTGCCAACACCCCAGCAGCTCCCTTAGGGCATATTAAGGCAGAGACTGACTACAGCGCTTATCTCAATTTCTTAAGCGCTACCCAGTTTGGTGGAGTTTTTCCCCCGTGGCCCCTGGAGGAAGAAAGGAAAATAAAGCCTAAGGCATCCCAGCAGTGTCCCATCTGTAACAAAGTCATCATGGGAGCCGGCAAGCTGCCCAGGCACATGAGGACCCACACGGGGGAGAAGCCCTATATGTGCAATATCTGTGAAGTTCGCTTTACCAGGTGTGTGTTGGTCACCTCTGCTGTGTGTGGGGAGTGAGGTGGTGGCTGGAGGGGCCACATCATAAACCCATGACTTATTTCTCAGCTACTCATCAGGGAAAACTCGTCAGAGCTTTTTTTCCCCCAGAATAAAAGTAGGGAAGAGAGCAGGGCATGATCTCTATCCCTTTGGAAAAAAAAATAAAAAGAGAGGAAGGGAGGGTGGAGGAAGAAAAAGAATCTACTGCTTTTTGTGGGTTGTGGATGACATCCACAGCTCACTGTATCCATCCCTTGCTGGACAAAAGCTTAAATAAGTAACAGGATATTTTCAACCCCACCAGAGTTCACCACAGTGGGACCAGAGTGAGCTGGAAAACAGATGGTCAAACAGCCAAGGAAGCTTCATCTCTAATGTGCTGAGAGATGCATTGAGTTGGGAGGGCCATTTAGCCACAGGATGTAATTAGATTGGGTTTGCACATTTTGGCATCAGTATAGACCACAGCCAAGTTGCACATGTTTGGACATGACAGTATCTGGGCTTTTTAGGGCTGGAGTGGCCCTAATTATTATGTGTTAGTAGTGCAGTTGGGGTCTTGGTCTCTTCCCCAAAATAACAAATGACAGGACAAGGGGAAACATCCTTCACCAGCAGAGATTTGGATTGGATATTAGGAACAATTTCTTCATGCAAAGCACGGTAACAGTCTGTCCAGGGCAGTGGAGGAGTCCCCATCCCTGGAGGAATTTAAAAGATGTGTAGATGTGACACCTGGGGACATGGTTTGGTGGACTTGACAGCATTGAGGGAACAGTTGGACTCACAAAATCTTGGAATGGTTTGGGTTGGAAATGATTTTAAAGAGTTCATCTAGTTCCACCCCCAGCCATGGGCAGGGGCACCCTTCCGCTATTCCAGATTGCTCCAAGCCCCGTCCAACCTGCCCTGGGACGCTTCCAGAGATGGGGCAGCTGCAACTTCTCTTGCCAAGTTGTATTTAGCTGTGTAAATCTAATGTTCCAGGCTGAAACCGTGCTCTGCAAAGCTGGGCAAATTTAATCGGTGAGCAGAGACAAATAGATTCCTGGACCTGCTCTTGCTGAGTATAATTAATATCTAATGAGAACAATCTTTACCATAATAATAAAGCTTTCTGACAAGAGCATGGTATTTCAGCTTCTGGCTGCATGTGAGAGAGAGAGCCCTATTAAGCTGGGGTGAGAAAACCAGAGGAAAATAATCTGCACAGTAGGCAGAGGCGAGCTTCTGACAATGGCCGGACACCTGGGGTGCTCCTGCATTCAGCCTGTCTTTTCTTCTCCTGTCCCTATGATAATATTCGAATGGAAGATATGCAGATGATGAGAATTTGACCTGAAAATAAATTTCCATGCTCCCCTCCATTAGCGCAGCAGACAGCATATTATAATGCGGGGAGCATCGTGCCTCAGGCGGGCATGTGCGACGTGAGCCAGCTCACCCTGGCATTTGCAGGGGAAAGGCCACTGCGTGGTGATAATTCCTGCCTGCAGGAATTTGGATCTGGCTCCTGCTGGTGCTGCATCCCCAGGTCAGCACTGGGCTGTTGTCTCTGTGAGCGTGGTGGCATCTCGGACTGGAGGGACAGCCTGGCCAGCCCCATCCTTTGGTCACTCTCTTGTGTGTGCTGCTGTGGGTGCTAATTGCTGATGAGGAAATAGCCTGGCCAGATCCATCACTGACCCCTCCCCTGTAACAGGAATAATAGAGCTGAGCCCTCCCAGAGGGCACTCAAAGTCCTTTACAGGCAAGGGCAGCATTGTTCACTTAGTGGGGAAACTGAGGCACAGATGCTGGTACTGATCCTAAGCCAGACAGGTTATATCAATGTGATAGGGGTTAAAAACTCCACACAGAGCTGGTCTAGCAAGACCCATTACTAATGCAGGACTAAATCAGATAGTTTCAACATCCCCCATGTGCTCAGCAGTTTCTGAATACAGAGCACAGGGGCAGGGGGACTTCATCCAAGGCAAAAAAATCAAAATACTGGGACTCACCCAACAGTGCAGTCTCCCAACACCACTGATGAAAACTGATCTTGTGGGTCACCCCATGAAGAGCTGGGTGCTGGAGGGTCTTTTCCTTCTTAAACACCCTGAGCAAAGTGGATATCTTAAAATACTGATTTGCTTTTAAATGTGTTTGGAAGGATTTTGAATAGTGTGCAGCTAATTGGTTTGGTCTGGGGTGGGGTTTTCTTAGCTGTTTTCATCCTTACTCTGGTGTATGAGCTCTCTTTTAGGAAGAAGTGTATTTTTAAGCAAAGTGGAGTGATAGAGTTGTAGAAAGAGATTTCTACTGGGATTTCCTGAGTGCTGCCACTTGCATTATGTGTTTTGCTCTCATGGGGGAGGGAATTCCATGCTTTCGGAGAGCACTGGACTTGCACCCACGGTGCCTTCACTGGGGAGCTGCAAGCTCAGATGGTCCCTTTCGGGGTCCCCTGGGAGTGAGGGTGCAGGGAAGCAGAGATTCCCAAATGGAATTTCGGTATGAATCAGTCCCTTTGCATTACTTCTGCATTTAAGGAACTGTGGAGGAGAAAACCTACTGGGGAGAAGGAGAAGATATATTTTCCTGGGTGAGGAGTGCCCCAACCTCCCCAGCAGATCCCTTCCTCTCCACATCAGTGGGATCTCACATCTCCCAGTAAGGACCCTACATGCACCTGGATCTGCCCCTCCTGCTGCCCACGGACATCTGATGGCAGGAAGCAGGACTTCATTTAACGGCTCATTAATTATTTTTTCCTTAAACAAAGGCTGCTCAGCTTCTAGTCTGCCATTCTACCCTGCTAGAACGCCGGAGAAAGCTGCAACTATTTCAGCTTTCCCACCAAGACAACCCCAGAGTGCTCAAGGAGATACTGTTCCAGCTGGAAAGGTTAACATTATTTGTTCCTATTATTTGTGTTGTGACAGCTCGCAGAGCCCTAATCGCTCTCCTAATGCAATTGCATTAAGGTTATTCACACACACGGAGCGTGGATCTCCGTCGGAGCGAGCCTCCAGCCCAGCTCCCAGCTCGTGTTCCCCGTGCCACATCCCCCTGGGGTGCTTCACCACGGAGCACCTCACTCCCCCAGCCTCTGAGCAGCTCCAGGTGGAGCCACAAACCTCCCCTGCATTCCCCGGAGATGCTGCTGGGGCAGGGAGGATTGGGAGGATTGGGTTTCTCCCCGTCTGCTGCCGGAGATGGGTAATAGCCTGAGAAGAGCTTTGCCTGTATTTACATTATGCAGTCCTGGCACGCAGCGTGTTTATTAGGAAAAGCGATCCTGCTAGGTTAAACATTACATACAGGGGTTTAAATTAAATTATAGGTGGGGTTGGCAGCTCTGCTTTTTATTAACATTTCCCCCCACTTTGCAGTACGAGTCCCTGCGCTCATCCACGCGCGACTTCTCCTGCGCTCGGGGTGAAATTCTCCCTGCTGCTGCTTTGTCTGCTGCTGAACACTGATCCCAGCCCTTCCAGAGGAAATGCACCCTTGTGAAAACCTTGGGGTAGCACCAGCTTTAAAAACGCCGGAGTGGGAAGTTGCCCTGAGCTTGGCACAGGGACTGAGAGATGCCTTTTTATCACATTTCCCTAAAAAATCCGTAGGTGCAGGACCAGGCTGGGACCAGTCTCCCAAAAGCAATAAAGCATCATCTGGTGAAGATGTGACTCTCCTGCTGGGGATACTCCTTTGCATCCTTGATCCTGAGGGACTGGTGTGCAGGGATGCCCAGCCCAGGGCTGCATTCCTCACGGTGCTGCTGGGCATGTCACCAAAAACTGTTTCAGTATGCACACGGGCTGGGTGGCAAAAACTAGTTTAGAGGCAGTGCCTTGCAAGTTTTGAGGGCTTGACCTGCCAGGAGAAACAGATTTTCGTATGGTTTTTATGTTATATAAATTAAATCATCATAATATATACTTAAGTAATTTATAATGTAATTATATTCTAAAGCAATAATAAATTGTATATTCTTTACTCTTTATATTAAAACATACCATATAGTTTTATATGGCATTTCTGTAATATATATATTTTATATCTAATAATGACATTACTCCGCATGTTCTGCGTATTTTTAGCCTCAATACTAGCATGTTGGAGAGTTCATACTGAAATAATTTTGGAAAACACTATGAATTTTCCCACTTTGCTCTTTACTTGAACTCTGCTGGTGCAACCTAGGAAGCAGTGCTCTGCTCAGTTGAGCCATAATCAGCTTCACTTTTTATAATTATACATTTTAGCTGTGATTTCATTTTTTTCCCCTTTTTTGACTGCAGAAGGAAACATTTATTTATTGGGGGGAAAATAGTAATTGGATTGCCAGTATAGGAAAATATTCTTCCTTTTAGATGTTCCCCTAAAAAAATACATACATAAATGTTTGTAAATGAGTTCCATAGGGGGATGGATATTATGCTATTCCATGGCTGGACTTAAAAAAAACTTCTCCTAATGGTTGAGGTGATTGGATGTGTGCTGGCCTTGGAGACCCTGGCAGGGAAGGACAGAGTGCCTGGGTGCTGCATCTCTGGCAGAATCACCCTCAGTGATGCTCCTGCTCCAAAAGAAAGCTCCTGAGACACCGTGTGGTCAGTGCAAGAATAAGAGGAGAGGAAAGTCGGCTCCAAGAGGGACTGAATTTAAGCAGTATGGTCCCACACTGCCAGGTTATTGAATCCCAACTAATTTCCCTCTTTGCAGGCCAGAATGGGGCTGTATTTATTTGATAATCCCAGATTTAGTTATATATAGATATATTCCCGTATTTCAAAATCTTGCTCTTTACAAATACGTGGAAGGAGGTTGTAGCCTAGTAGAGGTTGGGCTCTTCTCCTGGGGAAGGAGGGACAGAACAAGAGGGAACAGCCTGAAGTTATGCCAGAGAATGTTGAGATTGGAAAATCAGGAAAAATTTCTTCCTTGAAAGGGTTGTCCATCCCTGGCACAGGCTGCCCAAGGCAGTAGTGGAATCCCTATCCTTGGAGGGATTTAAAAGCCATCTGGATGTGGCACCTGGGGACGTGGGTTAGTGGTGGCCTTGGCTGGGGGATGGTTGGACTTGATGATCTTAGGTCTTCTCCAGCCTTAATGATTCTGTGGGTTTTGGGTTTATTCCAGGGATTTATTATTTTTTTCCGTCCAGTTCAAGTTGTTCTGAACTCTCTGGGATGGGCTGCAAACTCCTGACATGGAGGGCTCTGTGCGTGTGGTGTTTTAGTGCCCAGGAAAGCAGAGGTGAATGCAAACATCAGCCTGCAAGCCCATCCACACGCTGGGAGAGGCCCCAGGATGAGCTCCCCGGTTTCCCATCACCTCCTCCCCTGATCCCAATCGGGGAGGCAAAAGAGCAATCCCAACCACCCTCCATTTGTCCCAAAACCGCCCTGACCGAGCTCTTTTCCTTTTGCAGGCAGGACAAGCTCAAAATCCACATGCGGAAGCACACGGGGGAGCGGCCCTACCTGTGCATCCACTGCAACGCCAAGTTCGTGCACAACTACGACCTGAAGAACCACATGCGCATCCACACGGGCATCCGGCCCTACCAGTGCGAGTTCTGCTACAAGAGCTTCACCCGCTCCGACCACCTGCACCGCCACATCAAGCGCCAGAGCTGCCGCATCGCGCGGCCCAGGCGGGGCCGCAAGCCCGCAGCATGGCGGGCGGCCGGCCTGCTCTTCGCTCCCGGCGCCCAGCCCGTGGAGAACAGCTTCGTGATGCCCCCCACGCTGGAGGAGATGAGCAGCCACCTCGGCAGCACGGCCATGTGCCTTCCCGGCCCCAGCCCCAAACATTTCCTGAGCGGGGCCAAGACGCCCTTCAGCCTGCAGGAGCTGGAGAGCCAAATTGAAGAAACGCAGATGAAGCTCCTCAGGCGGGCCCAGATGGACATGGAGAGGAACGCGGGCATCTTCGCCTTCGCCCTGGGCCACAATGAAAACCTCGCTGCCCAGCCCTTCTTCCCTCTCCCCGACCCTTGGAGCACAGGTTTCAGTGGCTTGGCGGGGCTCGGCCACGTGGCTCCCATCTCAGAGGCCAGCAACTAAACCCGCGCCCGGTCCCACCATGCTCCTGTCCCAGCAAGGCAGCCTGCTCCCCTGGGAGCTCCCCTGGGGCTCCCACCTGCCCTTCTCCATCATCAGCTTCCCGAGAAGCTCTTTGTCCTCTCACTGCCATGGGGCTTGGGGCATGGGGCCATCCCTGGGGCGAGCAGGGGATGGGCAGGTGCTGTGCCCCGTGGCCACCGGCACTTTAGACTCTGCACTTGGCTTTGGGGCCACTGGGCACTCACTGTCCCCATCCCACCACTCATGGCTCCATCTGGGAAAGCCAGGCCAGGACTGATGCCCTCTTCAACACCCCCAAAAATGTCACTTGCCTTAGTCCAGGGCTCGGCCATCACCATGAGATGGCTTTTCTGTGGGAAATGTTCCCCATTTTCCCACACACAGAGCTCACTAGACACTGACAAGCCGTCCAGACTTGGGTTTGTTATGTTGCATTCCTTGGCCCTTTTGGTCAAAAGGACTTTTCTGTTTTCTTTTTGTTTTTGTTTTTGTTTTTGTTTTCTTCTCAATTAATTCCCATGTCTGGCAACAATATTTATTCCACAAGGGATAAAGAAGGGATAAAGGGGGGGTCTAGCAGCCTTGCTGGGAGAGGGAGGATCCTGGCCACTGCCTTTCTCAGCAGTATATCAGATTTACAGGGCTGGTGAAAGCCCTGATCTGCAGCATGAGTTGGGACCTTAAAAAATACTTAAAAAAAAAAAAAAAAAAAAAACAAAAAAACGCGGAGATAGAACACCTAGCGCAAAGCTGGGTGGAAAAGGGGGATTTTACTTATTTTGGTTCTTTAGCTATTTCAAAGTTTCAAAAGGAGAACCAAAGCCTATTTTGAGTATTTTAACTTCAGTTGCTTGAAAAGGTGAAGGATAAGTTTTGGAAGAATCAGTGATGTTTCGATACTGAGCTTTTATTAAACCCTTGCTTTGAAAAAAATGAACCAGTGGGAATTTTGAAATGAAAAAGTCGTTTCAAACCAAAGAGTCAGAATTCGCTGCCGCTGACCATTCTGAAAAGTCTGGGGTTCTGTCCTTAATTCCCTCGAATTCCTATGTTATAGTGATGAGAAAAAATTACAAAACACTCGTGTGTCCCCAAATCTGCAGTGTTGATGGGAAAAAAATCGGGTGTGCAAATATCCCTGCTGCTTGTCTCAAGGGATCTTTGTGGAAAAGAAGTTCCCTAAAGGTATCTTTATGGTGATACTGTCTACTTGCAAGCAAGTAGAAATGCCATTTCTGCACTGTAGCTGGTTCAAAAGAGAAGGTAGTGAACATCACCCATGGTGGCCAACAGGTTTGACTCCCCAGCATCCCTGCAAATCCCATCTTGGCCACCCCATCTGGTAATTCTTTTGGGGCAAAAAAAAATGGCCAGTTGGCTGGAATCGCTCTGTCCACCTCCTTGAGCCCCAAATCCATGAGCTGCTCCGAAGGATAAAAGCTTTTGGTGGCCATCTGCCTCCCACGGCTCCTCCTGGATGAGCCATGAGAGGCAGACGTGGTTCCACCAGTCTTCACCCAGTTCCACCACTGGCTGAGGTGGGTTGCAGTGGTTGTTGTACACGAAACCAACACTTGGAAACGTAAATGTTACAAATTAGGGCTTTTTATTTCTCTTTTTCATACGACCTTTCAACCTCAGCAAAGTCGGAGGGAATGCGAGGACGGCGGGTTCATGAGTTTTTTGGTTTTTTCCATCAGTGGCTGGATAAGAATCTGCCCACCAGAGGCAAGGAGGGGGACACGGGGAGTCAAGGGTCCCACAGCCCCCCAGGAGGGTGTGAGGGACTTCTGCTCTGAGACCACCTGTAGCAGAATGGTCCCAAGGGACTGCCCAACACTCGGCTTCCTCCTCCAAAAAAGAAATCCATAAAGACTCCACGTGCAACAAAAGTCAATGGAGAGAAAAAAAGAAAGTAAGAAAAAGAAACCTTCTTAAAACTGCATCAAACTTTTTCTTTTTAATTCACATCAACTTCTTAAACAAGCGACGTTTTGCAGATGATTGGTTCCTTCAGGTGTTTTTTTGTCTACGATTTGGAGTCGTTGTAAAATATCCAAAGATGCTGAGTACTGTATGATCTGCAAGGACTTGAAGCAAGGTGTTTTTTCTGTCTCGGTTTGTTTGTTAGGTCGGTTGGGTTCTTTTTTTTTTTTTTTTCCTATATGTCTAAGTGGGGATAAACCTTTGCAATTTTTCTATTTATAACTATTTTTATGTGATTGCTTTATGTACAAAACAATAGAAAAAAATCAAAACAAAAAAGTAGAGGGAGGAACACACACGTACACAAACAAATTTGCCTTAGTTACTCACGGGACAATCACCCTTAACTTTGATTGATGCTAAAAAAGTGGATGGGAAAAAAAGAGACTAGATCATTTTATGTATTTATTAAATTGTATTAATTGATGCTTTTAAATTATTAGCAGGACTTGATTCTCTTGCCTGTGGCCATGGTGAGAAGGCAGAGCCTCCGTGGTTGCTGAGCTGCCAGCACAGCCATCCGTGTGTCCTCAGCTCTGTGGATGTTTGCCTGACACCTTTTGGAAAGCCAGAGTAGTCACTTATTAATTAAAACACTGAGCTGGTCTGGGCTCCAGCCCGGGGGGCTGCTGGCATTGTGATGCTGATGACGATTTTGGAGTTAAGGTTGATTTTCCCGCGTTGGCGTTGGGTTGGGTAGGGCTGGAGGGAGCTGAGTGCTGGCAGTGATCATGTTTTGGGGTGTAGAGGGATGATTAGAGAAAACCCTGTTTATTCCCCTTTTGATGTTGTGTGGTGAGTCCAGGCCACAGGTATCCACATGGGAGCCCAGCTGAGTGTGAAGGTGCCTTCCTGGGGATCTGCTCCCGTTTCCCAAGCAGGACGGGTGTAATGAGCACCAAACCTCGGGCTGGAGGGACACGAGTGCTGTCCCAGCTCATGGTGTGGTGGCTTCTTCTTCATGTCACCCTGGCTCCTACGGCCTGGCTGCAGCAGGGCTAGCGTGGGCAGCAGGGCAGGGGGGATTGTGCCCCTGTGCCCCTGTGCTCAGGTGAGAGCCCACCTGCAGAGCTGCCTCCAGCCCTGGGCTCCAACAGCACAAGGACGTGCAGCTGCTGGAGCCAGCCCAGAGGAGGCCACGGAGATGCTGCAGGGCTGGAGCCCCTCTGCTCTGGAGCCAGCCTGGCACAGCTGGGGCTGCTCACCTGCACAAGAGAAGGCTCCAGGGAGAGCTCAGAGCCCCTGCCAGGGCCTGAAGGGGCAGTTTAGGCGAAAAGTGGGGCAAACATTTTAGCAAGGCCTATTGTCATAGAACAAGAGAAGATGTTTTAAACTAAAAGAGAAGAGATTCAGTCTAGATAGAAGGAAGAAATTTTTTACAATGAGGTTGCCAAAACACTGAAACAAATTGCCCAAAGAGATGGAGACTGCCCCTGGATCCCTGGGAGTGTCCAAGGCCAGGTTGGACAGGGCTTGGAGCAACCTGGAATAGTGGAAGGTGTCCCTGCCCATGGCAGGGGAGTGGATCTGGATGACCCTTAAAGGTCCTTTCCAACTCAAATTTTCTGGTGATTCTATGATTGTATTAACACAAGTGACATAAACATGAGCCCTGTAATTCACATGGCTGCTCAGAAATTGCAGAATTCCTTAGTTTTTGAACGAGGTGCAAAAACCTGGAAAATAAGCTCCAGGTAGGAACGGTGGGGCTTGTCCCACATTGTTCAGCCATTTGGAAGTGAAGTAAACAGGTACCCTGTGCCTATTGAGACACCTGCATGTTGTCCTGCAACGTGATTTCCAGCCTTCCTCTGAAGCCATCCTGGCTCTGGAGGGAGGCAGGTTCTGATGGAAGGTGATTCATCCCACCTACGCTGGACCTCCCAGGGGTGGGATGAATCACCTTTGGGCACCTGTCTGCTACCTACCAGCGTGCTGTGCTTTCCCATAGCTGACTGAGATAAGGTTAACCACGGGGAGGGATGTTCCCACCACCGCTGCTCCCTCCTCTCTGCTCAGCTCATGGGACAGTGCCTGGAAAACCCTTTCCCAAGAGGATGGGATGCTGGTACAGCCCAGGGATCCAGGTCAGGCATCTTGATTTCTTCCCAGTCTGTTTTAACTGGGAACTTAATGGGGAATAAAGGCCCTTGTCAAGCCTCCCAAGCCTGGGAATCAGGGATTCAGGCTCATGGGTCGTACACCCTGCTGTAATCCCAGTAAAATATCCCAAGTTCTTACAGCCACAGGTCATTTTCCTTCATTTACACTTCGAAGAAGGACTCCACAGCATGAGGTACTCAGGCAGGGGTCCAGATCTGCAGGCAAAGTCCAGAAATGTGACTTGGGAACAAAGAAATACCAATCCCCCTCTCAGGGCAGGTGGTCGATTGTTGAGCAGCTCCTCTGTGCTTGGAGCCTGCAGAACCATGGCAGGGTCAGCCCATAAACTGTTTCTGAGCACAAAAAAATCCACAAAATGAAAATTGTGTGAACTACTTTTTAGCTATTTAAATACACTTATGACTTATTTTTTTCACGTCTTGTGGCTTTTAAGCCCATTTTATATTCACATTCTGGTTTGCTTATAATGCCAGAACAATAACAACTACAACAAAATAAGAAATAGATTTTCAAGGGGAGGGTGGGGAAAAAAAAATCTAAAAATCGCTCAGAGGAGCGGTGCATTAATCAGACACATGGGCATCATGAGAAGAAACCAGCTTCAGTAAATGCTTGTTAGCAACAACATATGGCTACATGCTTGCTCCTGAACAGCTGCTGTTATCTGCTGGAGCATCCAGGCTGCAGAGGGAGCAGCACTGGAGTGATGCTGCACACAAGCGTTTGCTTGGACCAGGTGTAGCTGCCAAAGAAGCATCTCCTCGCACGAGTGACAGGGAGCTGGATGGGCAGAACCTTTTCCCTGGGCTTGAAACCCTTTGCTGAGCATTGCAAGAGCCTCTTCCTGCAGTTGTGCAGGAGGAAATTAC